CTCGATTCATTTGAGAAGCCATATAAACAACTCGAGCTCGTGTCTCACCGGGATATCCAAACACTCGAAAACAATGTATGAAAACACTCGCGCTTCGCGCTCGTGTTTTCATACATTGTTTTCTCGTGTTTAGCCATATCCCGGTGAAACACTCGCTCTCGTTGTTCATATATTACATCCCTATTGGACAGTTATCTCATACGAAAATACAATGAGCTCAATTCACTGTAACCATGCCGCACAAATTAACAAAAACTCAGACAAAAACATAATACAATGACTTCTGTTTAGTTGCCAGACTACCATATCTTGATAGCTATGCTACAAGTCAGGAAAACACAACATAGGCAGATATTACGATTCCTTGCACAAATTAACATACAAAAACGTAACATAATGATCGACTTTCACCTTTGTTTAGTTTTCAGACTATGCCGCATGCAGGTCAAGCAAACACGATATGCGGCGATATTTCGATTTTATTTCAAAGTCATTGTGGCAGATCAGGGTTTTTCTCTTTTCTAGGTATTTGGTTTCATCGGGACAATCCTGTTTCTCGTGGACACCATTGTCTATACACTGAAAACAGTTCTCTCCACTGATCAGTAATTTGCAGTCGCGGGGTTTTACGTATAGTACTTATTTGTGACAATTTCTACTAGTATATTAACTATAGCATAGAGATTAGTGTTTAGCTCTAGTATTAAGAAAACGCATTGAAACAATGGACCATTTGCATTATAGACTAAATTTTGATCTAGACAAAAATTTCATCATAGCTTGAAAGAGCATCACAAAATTAGTAATATTCCAAAGTTTCGTTGCGAAATGTTGTAAAATGCGGATAATATAGCCATGCAAAGTTTGCCGTTTTTCAGTCATTTTGTATTACGCACGGGGAATTGACAGCCCAATCGGGTGTTGGGGCATCAATTTCCCGTTTGTAATACAAAATGACTGAAAATTGCAAATTTCGCAAGGCTATATTATTCGCATTTTACAACATTTCGCAACGAAACTTTGGAATATTACTAATTTTGTGACGCTCTTTCAAGCTGTGATGAAATTTTTGTCTAGATCAAAATTTAGTCTATAATGCAAATGGTCCATTATGGTACGGTAGACGGGACATCGCGTCCCCCCCCCCCCTTCCAAGGGGGCGGGAAGGGCGCATAGGTGCCCTTTTTGATTTTGGAGAAATGTTTGTTATGTGTAAAAAATAATGAAAAGGTCATTACATCCCAAAATCACGAATCAAAAGACAATGTTTTAGGGAAATCTTTGTACATAACTTTTCTATTAATATTTTTACTAAAGCGTTTCCGAAAAAAATGAGACGAAATTTATGAACTCGTGAAAAAGTGAGCCACTACGAAAATATGCATGCAACACGGAAAATGTTTAGTATATTTGTTAAATATCAACATACTACAAAATACGTCACATGTCGCCAAATTTATCAAACGATATCTATAAGCGTTACATGCAAAGTTTGTCAGAAACCATTATCCAATACTTTTTGTCTTTTTGCGTATCAAACATTTGACGTACTATTTAAAAAACGAGCAGGAGTGTTTTATTAGGTTTAAAGCCACGAGCGCGCAGCGCGAGTGGCTTTAGACCTAACTAAAACACGACCTGCGAGTTTTTTAAATGGCTTCAAAAACGTTTGCATAATAAGTCAAATCTTTATATAAAAATCTTTATATAAAAATCTTTATATAGTTTGCATGACAATGGTCTTTTGTTAAGGTGTTCTTTAGCTGGTATAAAGACGTATGCACGTGACTAATTTCTTACTCAAGATTGGATAATTGCTTCATGAATTATTAATGAGTTTTTGAAAATTAGTTTGAGCATGGTATGAAGAAGTTTGTGTTATGAACAGAAGCCGAAGGCTTCGTAGGAAGTGTGATCTCGTATGCCATGCTAAAATCAATTTTGAATGTTAAAAAATAGCAAGCCCTGCTTAGGCTGGTGTCTCTTAGGCTGTCTCCAGCCCCGCTCAAAACTTTGCTAAACTGAAAGTTGCTGCCCCGCACTACTGTCAGTACTCGGAAAGCTTGTCTAGCTGCATGTGCTTACCGTAGGGTTGCTTAACATGTTCAGGTAGTCTCAGGTAGAGGAATCGCCGAAATGTGCGGGAGGTGTGACACTTCGATCCCTGCGGGTCTGAACTTCTCCTAAGGGAGCATTCATTTTTTAGCTGGGGGGGTGGGTGGGCCGGAGGAATTTGGGGGTGGGTCAGCCAATTTTGACATGCTTCAAAGGGGTGGGTCTTTTTATAGTTTTGGTATAAATGGAGGGGGTCATAAAAATAATCAGTGAAAAAATCACCAATATGATTTTATTGAATTTGGGAATATTTGGATCAAGAATGGTAAAAAGGTCCAGAATCTATCAACTATCTCGTCATCTATAACAATGAAGCAAAATTCATTTGACGCTCTGTTCACACAGTCCATAGGAAAACATTTCCATGACGTTCGTCAATTGACTTCGGTTTTATCCGTTTTGGTGTGAAAACATGAATGAAAGAAAATGCAGGACCGTAGCATGATTTCAAAATCATGCATGATTTCAAGGTCTGCATGACTTCAAAATCATGCAGACCTTGATCAATTTTAAGCTTTATTAATTTTAAGCGGCTACATTATCCATGACAAAATGCAAAGAATGAAGATAGTACCCACAGTTTCCTGCAACTTATCCTAGTTATCCAATATATAGTAAATTAAATACGCCTTCGCCCATTTAGTACTAACAAATTGTCAATTTCGACATACTAAAACGCTGTTTTCTGAACATCAGAATTCTGTCAAATCTTCCCCAAAGGCCAGGAAATGGCATTTCAGAGACTCTAAATTTAAAAATTTCCTCGGGCTTTCGGCCCTCGCTTTCAGCCCCCCAATCAAAAAAAGCTGCCTACGGCCCTGAAACGCTATGGAAACGACACTGTGTGGATTAATAGTTAGGATGAGGGGTCAAAAAATTTTCAGTAAAAAAAATAGGGGGTCATAATTTTTTATCAATTTTTGTCTTGGTGGTTCCAAGTTTGCGCATGGAATTAGACATCAGTTCCTCCGGCCCACCCCCCCCCCCCACTAAAAAATGAATGCTCCCTAAAGAGAATAAACCGCACCCTGGCCTCTCACTATAAAAGAGCCAGCCACGCTGGCTATAATTATACTTAATAATGTGCATTCGTGGAAGTAGATCCTCGGCACATCGGCCCATATCTGGGGATTCCAACATCTCCCTGGCAACTCGAGGCACAGATCCGCCCGTAGCTGGCTCTCACTCCTCTGGGGCACTGCAGAAAGAATGTAACAGAGGGGTTGGGATGATTCTGACCTCAACCCCCGTCGACAACTTTTTAGGTAAAAAATTTTCCGGACGAGTACGTTGCAATTACTTTCCAGGTACTTTATCTCAATTTTTCATACCAAATTTCGGTACTTAGCCCCCCCCCCCAAAAAAAAATAACAACATTAACAGCTATTAGTTCTGCAAAATGTCTGCAGGGGCTAAGGCCCCGCCGTAAGATTTCTGGAGGGGCTCGAGCCCCAAAGCCCCCCCCCATACTCTACGCCTATGAGGTTATTTATTTTAGGCCACAAGCAATCTATTTTCATACAAAAATTGAGTATGACTATGAGCCTCAAGTATTAATCTTCTACGGTCGCTGTAGTACTGTACATCATGGCAAAAATGTGGAATAAGGGGGGGACATAATTTCAATTTTATTTCCGAGTGGGGGGCATTGCCCCCCCCCCTCAGTTACGGGCCTGCACAGACCCTCGGCCTCGTGAATAACTTGATTGAGGACTTACGTACTGACATTAATAAAACAATTAATAAATATATTTTTAAAATAATAATAATGTATAAAGTATAACGCATGCTTGAAATGTTACGTGTTAATAAATCTATTGTTATTATTCTTCAGTGATTAACGACCGCTGACAAGCATTTTAACATGATTGTGGACTCGTATTTCAATATTGGCGGGAATTTGATCCAAAAATCAAAATTATAAAAACAAGGCAAAAATCAAGTTTCATTTCCGCGAGTCGTGAGTGTAGCTGTTTAATTGGCAATTTAATATATATCAGTGTTTCTTCGTATAATGGGTCCTACTTCGTCTTCGAGGAATCTTCCTGTACAAAAATATTTTCGCCAAAAAAACAAACGGTAGCGTTTGAAGAGTTGTCAAATGCCAGGTGGGTGACTGTACGTTGGTCAGTCCAGTCAGCTAGGGGACATATAAATATTTCTGACAGGGAAGATGGCAATAATCCCAGGTAAGCGTTGCTTTTCATTATTGTCTTACTGAAAAATATGCTTGCCCAAAGCGGACAAAATTACGAACAATGAAATACCAAGTCCATTTTCTCAAATACCAAGTCCATTTTACAAATACCAAGTCCATTTTCTCAAATACCAAGTCCATTTTACAAATACCAAGTCCATTTTCTCAAATACCAAGTCCATTTTACAAATATTGGGTCCATTTTCTCAAATACCAAGTCCATTTTACAAATAGCAAGTCCATTTTACAAATACCAAATCCATTTTCTCAAATACCAAGTCCATTTTACAAATATCAAGTCCATTTTAAAAATACCAAGTCCATTGTACAAATACCAAGTCCATTGTACAAATATCAAGTCCATTTCACAAATACCAAGTCCATTTTACAAAATAATATCAAGCCATTTTTATTCACTGCCACAGTGCTACTTTGGAAAATGAAATTTCCCTACTACAAGGAAATTGTCAAAATGGAATTGATATTCGCGTGCGTGCAAAACAATTTGCGAAACACAATACCAATTCGAACATGCTAATTAGGTCATAATGTTTCAATGAATGTATGATTATGTAGTTATTTATTCAACGACTGTATAATTATGCAAAGACAATTTATGCAATTGCACCTTAAAATGGCGGCAAGGTGGTTACCAAATATTGAAGAGTTTTTCGAATCTTTACATAATTATATCCATACATTTTGGCGCCCAACAGTATCTAAACAGCACAGACAAAAATGACAGTGACTACTAGTTGAGAAGGGTTCTAAATTATACATCTGTTGTAAATTCACTCTTTGCAAGAATGTGGACATCAAGCTACAGGCAGGGACGCACATTTAGGGGGGGGGGTGACACCCCCATGTTTTGTGAAATATATCTAAAAAGCCGGTCGCAAAACCTGAATGGGACGAAAAAGTCGGTACGGCTAAAATCTGAAAGATATTATCATTTTGTGTCGAAAAAAGTAATAGGTGCACGTTCTGGAAATGGAAGTTGCATAAACATGTTAGAAAAATGAATTAGACAAAGAAAAACAATTAAACATACACAAATTAGAGTTCACTGACACAAACCAAGAGAGCAAATAATCAACTTACTGCAACATTTCAGCCAACGTAATGCGATCCGATTACCTCAGGGGGCTCTGCAATGGGCATAAGAACTGCCCTTGTGGAAAGCTAAAATCCTAAC